ATCATCCAATTCGAGGGGCATTTTAAATGACAGATTCACACAACATTGCGGAGTTCGGAACAAATAATTTAAAATTGTCTAGCAACGGCGATAACATATTAACGTTAAATATTTCTTAAGTATTTTTAAGTATTTTAAATTTTCCCAGGAATTCTAGATATTGATAAAGGTTTAAAGTGGGATGCCCCTATGGATTATGTAATTTATGTGAATGGTCTTTTCTCATTGGACGTCACATTATTGTAACCCCCCCTAATCCTGTCACAATTTGTCTACAACCCCCCTTCCATCCATAAAGTATGGACGTAATTTTTGAAAGTCCCTTTGGCGCCATTTTGCTAATGAATTGTAAAGTTCCCATTAATTCACCGTTCCGCAATGCTTGGTTGCTATTTCCAAGGGTTGCTTCGATGGTAAGTAATTGCCGTAAATTCTCACCAAGTTTCGCTGTAAATCACACGTTCATCGCAGTGTGTACGTCCTTTCAATGTCACGGACGTCGTTGTTGAAGTAAAGTTTTCCCGTCTGTCAAGATCGCTTCCTTATCGGTAACTCGATTAAGGTCTAGTCTCTTTCAGTCGGACACGCAACGTGTTGGCTCACACGTGAGGGAAATCTGAAGCCGAGACTGAAAACTCCCCGAGTTGCACTGGTAGCTACTAATTTAAAAAAAATCACTCGGCAGTGGAAAACCGGTTCGATTAAAGCGGTTTTTTCATTTTTTTTCCTCATTTAAAATCACCGTTCTGATCTTGAATGTAGTTTTTTTTTCGAGTACTTACGTCCAATGTCCATTACTGCCATTGAACCTGTAGGTTCAATGGCAGTGATGGACATTGGCTGACAACTTGATGCAGTTATATTTCGACTTGCTTGCAAGGCAAATAGAAAGGAGTCGTAATTTTACTGCTCTTGATATTGCACAACAAAAGAGCAACTGTCAATGTTTACTGATTTATGATAGAGACAATATTTACATTGAGTATACAAAAGTATTAGCACGTTTGTGTGAAAGAACCAGTGAAGTCAAACACCAGCAACAAGCCCTTTCGATTGACCCGATTGACTCATTCAAGTGGGCCCGTTGTTGATGAAAGGTAAACAAAAAATGAAAATCGATTGTGCAACCTACTAGCTGTCCGCCACAGCCTCCTCTTTGATTCGAACCCTTAGAAATTTGTTAGAGCTATGCATGACATGCTCGGATGTGTGGACTCGACACTCAAAAGGCCAGCACTTTACGCAACGTTTTTACATCTTCGTTATCTGGTTGAAAATGTCATGGTGTCTCAACCCGCCTCGGAGACCATAATAATATGCACCTAGCAGAGTAGTTCTTTGAGATAATGACAACAGCATCATCGAGTAACGTCTTCAGCAAAATAGACAACAGGAGGGTTTGAGCAAATGAGCTGACCTTCACCGAACCGGTTTCGAATCATTGCTGGTTTGCTTTCCAAAGGAAACATTTTCAAGGTTAGTTCCATCTGCTGCAGAGTAGGAAGTCATTTCCCTGTACTTCACGTGCGTGTACGGAGTTCTTTGTTTGTCGATCGGTTTCCGACTTTCAAGAATAAAGAGCGAATCGAATCTGTTGCTTGGTTAAAAAGTGTTCGGGTTGGATTTCTCGACCCAACTGTTCATGGTGAACATTTTCTAGAGTATTCTAAATGGTAATACAGTACTCGTTTGGTTTTGGCAATAAAACCACAGAACCGTTTGTTTTTGGCACCGTACCAAAATCGAACGGATTTTGAAAATAATGTGATTACAATTTAAAAAAAAGAGTAATTTTTAATAACTTCTATATCATACAGATGACTACCGGTGTGGTCCAAAATCAACGAAATCATAAATTAAACTTCAAAATAAAACCATTCGATTTTTAAACACTAAATTTTCGGGTTTGTTACCAAAATCGATCGGGTACTGTTTGATGATAAGCATAGTCATCAAAAATTAATAAAGATTTTCACATTAAATAAACCTTGTTTTTGCTTACGAACCAGATCTTCTACTCAATAAAAGGTTGATTCTACATAGTAGGCGCAGACACTGGTCGTTGTGAGCCTCAGTTGTTAGGCGTTTCACCTTGAGAGGAAAACGATCCTTTCAAACTTATGCGAAGCAGTTAAGTTGAGCCGACTGCAGCAGCCAAATGTAGGTCTTCACAAGAGTTAAGAGCTATAAGTGCTTAGCAAATTGCTCAATAATGAGCCGCGATGCTTGATGGAAGAAGAATGAGTCTTTCGGTGTATGTATGTGTGTTATTTATTGTTTGTTTGCTATGACAGCGCGTATACAAAGCACACAGGTCATCCAGAGGCTAATGCGCTTCAGCTGCTGAAAATTGAAGATATAGTTAATAGCCGTTTCGTCAAATATTCACCCACAAACTGAGATGTGATGTGATAAAAAAAAAACCCACTAATGTGTGCTGAAACCGAGACTCAACCGGTTCGTCCAAGCAGCCTTCCGAACGCTTTTTTCGCCCCTTGCTTATTGTAAACAAACAAATGCGTAAAAATCCAAAAATAATTATTTAATGGGGGGTTCCTTTTTTCATCGGCATTCGGTCCAAGTGTTGCCAGATATACCGATTTATCGGTATTTATACCGATTTTCAAACTTGATACCGATATACAGATAAGGTTTCTCAGAATACCGATTTTTGAGTTATAATACCGATTTATACCGATTTTTAATTAATAATCAAAATGATCACTGATGACTTTTACTTTTACTTATTGAAATTTAAAATGTTTGAGACTGCGTTAAAAAAAAAATCTTTAAAAATGTCTTACACTGAAAAAAGTTTTCACTTAGTTTCTATGAGGAACGCACATAGTATTTTTACAAAAACAAAAACAATGATTTTTACCTGAATATCACATAGCATTAGAAATTCTATATGAGAAACCATATAGATTTCATTGGACACATAACGTTCATGTGATTTAGTGGTGCAATTCCCAATTATGGGATCACATGAAAGTTATGTGAAATTCACATGGATATTTTCCACTGGTTATGTGACTTATTTTATGAGTGTATGCTTGATACTCTTTCGACTAATGCTTCCATTTCCTCGCCGTTTTTGGCTACCAAGGAGTCGAGAAACAGCTGATGGTAAATTCTGGAAATCGGGAAATACTTTTATTCAGTGGATAAATAGGTCCATAAAAAGTTAATTTTTGAACTTCCTGAAATTTCTTTAATTTTTCCTTGGAAGTGTCTTCCAACTTTCCCTAGGAACTTCCGTCCACCTTACGCTGTAAGGTATTTTCCGATTCCTTCCAGGAAGCTGTTTCGACTTCCCTTGGAAGCTTCTTCTGGCTTCACTCGAAAGGTTCTTCCGTCTCCTCCCGTCAGTTTTTTCAACTTCCCCGGAACTTCAGAAATGCTTCCAGAGTTTCCATTAGATTGTGGTTCCATTAGTTTCAGGAAAACTTCAGGAACTTTTCAGAAGTTCTTAAACTTAAGAATAGTTCGTAATTTTGGGTAGGTTCCAATAAATTAAAGACAGTTTCATTAACTTCTGTTCAAATCCGAGAACCCGGGAATTTGAGGAAAGCCCAGAGAACTCCAATGAACTTAAGTAAACTGAAATATTTTGGAAACTTCACAAGCCCAAAGAACTTCAAAGAAATTTAATGGTTTTCAGGATAGTTCCATTTGTTTCAGGAGAATTGAGATAACCTTAGGGAAGCATTAGGACATATACATTTAAGGAAATTTCTGAACCTTTAAATGAGTTCCGAGAAACTCAGGGACTTTCCGAAAACATCAGTTAAGATTCGAGAGGTTCATAAAAATTTTGAAACGTAAGGGAAGTTACAAGAACATTAGAAAATTTTGAGAACATTTTAAGGGAAGTTCTGTTTGTTTTATCGGCAGTTTCGAAAACTTAAAAAAATAAAAAAATGGGAAGTTCCGAGAACTTTAATGCTGATGTTCATTAATTTGAAGAAAAACAATGAAAGCGCTAAAGAAGATCCAGGGACTTTTAAAGAAGCTAAGAGATTTTCCGGTAGTTCCTTAATAATTAGGGAAGCTACGAGTACTTTGAGGATGATCAGAGAACTTCAAAACAGCCCCAGTAACTTTAGGAAAATTGCAAGAACTTTCAAGGAGTTCCAAAGAATTATGGAATGTTCCGAAAACTGCATGAACATTGTAGGCATTTCAGGGATGTTTTATAAATATCAGGAAAATTGCTGGATCAATAGAGCATGTGACGAACTTCAGGGAATATTGTGCTAACATTCACCAGAAATCTATTTCTTCCAGATATTTTCCCATCTTCTCCTTGAAGTATCTTTCGACTGTTCCGTAAGCCCTTTGGTGTCCGACTTTTTCCAGAGGTTTCTTCCAATCTACCTTAAGAAGTTTCTCCCAGTGTCTCCTGGAAGTTTCTTCTGTCTTCTCCAAGAAGTTCAATTAAAGTTCTATCGGATGTATCTATCGAGTTCTCCCAGACGTTTCTTTCGTCTGCCTCTGGAAGTTTCTCCATAAGTCACTCTCCGTAGGTTTTTTTTTCCCGACTTATTGAAATGTTTTTCCAAGCTTCTCCTAACTTCCCCTGGAAATGGTTCCTCCGGGATTGGCTTCCGATTTCCAAACTTTTCTGGCTTCTGGATTTGTTCCGAAAGTTTCTAAAAATTTTAGCCAGAAGTTTCTAAATATTTGTCTTGGAAGATCCCTGTTGGCGCTGGGATCACTGCCTCAAGTCGCGATACGTAGTGTAACCCGAACCGAACCGCGGAGTTCAACTGTCTGTTGTCATCGAATGACAGGAGCGAACGAAGAGAGAGAAGGAACATCATAAATGAAAGGAAGAAGTGGATAGTCGGTCAGCAAAACAATCTTGAGTTAATACTTAGTCATTCTAGTGAAAAGTGTGAATCCTAAATTCTTAATCTATTTGAATTAGCCTAGCCTATGAATTAGTAAATCTAAATTGAAAATCTACACAAAATTGTGAGTAAATTGTAAAATAACTAACTAAGAATAGAAAATTAAAATAGCCAAACTTACAGTTCTCATAGCGTGGAAAAACATAACCCAGCGAACAGAAACTTTCATCTGGTGAAAGCACCGAAAGTGTAAGTAACACAATGTGTAAATTGAAATTGTACTAATTAAATATACTACTTGCAGTTTAAAGCTGCACCTATCCAAAATTTGTGCTGCTCACAACCCGGTGTTCATTTCTGTTCGCCACTGTAACACACTTTAAAACTTTCGTAAGTTCACTAACATGAGTGCGAAACAAGCCAGCGATAATGCTGAGTCATCCCACACGCCGGACAGGAATCGATCGGGAGGCTGCGTGAGCTGCTCGCGCCCCGTATCGTTCGACAATTTCGTCCAATGTGACCAGTGCGACAGCTGGTGGCACATGAGCTGTGCGGGGGTGACGGAATCGGTCGCCGAGCGGGCATTTACATGCCGCAATTGCTTGCCGTTGAGTGTCAACACTAAGTCGACCAACCGGTCAGCTCGAATTGCCCTGAAGCTGCAGAAACTGGAGGAGGAGCGCGCCATTCAGCAGCGCGCCTTGGAAGCCGAGAAGCGGGCCATCGAGCAGGAGAAGAGGCTCATGCAGGAGAAATATACCCTGCTGGAGGAACAGTTGGACGAAGAACGGGACAACCAAAGCAACCGCAGCCGGGTGAGTCGACGAGCGAGTCAACAACGTGTGACACAATGGGTGCAACAGCATTCCTCGGAAATCGCGCCAGGTGAGGAAGCCGCAGGAGGATTACCGAAGTCCGACGAACCGGTCGAGCGCCGTAATCCAACGGGGTGTCAGACGGAAGTCAACCCAGTGAAGGAGCAGGAGAAGGTGATATTATCGCCGATGGATCACAATCCGGCGCAGCAGAAGCAACGACGGAAAACCTTAGTGGAAGTATCGAAGCTTTTTTGGAATCAGCAGCGGAAAACAGGCGCGATTCCCAAGACGGTTCCGGATCAGCGAGTCGAAAGTCGTATGACGACATTTATTGGTAACCCTTTCCCCTCTGAGCCCCCCGTAATTCCACCAGGTAAGCCACCACTTAATTCTACTATACATAAGGATGTTGCTCAACCGAGTCAAGATTATTCGGATATGCTAGCGAAATTGGGGATTAGTCCGACTCTCGTCAACCCGAGTCAGGCAAAATTAATTGGGACTGAGCCTGTTCTACTAGGCCATCCCGCCCCTACGGTTCCTCTCTCTTTGCCTTTGGGATGGAACCAAACCCAGTTGACTTCAACAACGGGTCCCAATGTTGGCCATATACAGCCGAGTGTGCCCGGCACTATTCCGGCACCAAGTGTGCCTCTAACTTTTCCGGCACCAAGGGTACCTCCCACTTCTTTGGTACCAAACCCGGTACCTGCCCCTTCGCAGTTAGCCGCACGACAAATAATGCCTCGCGATTTACCCCCTTTCGCCGGTGACCCCGCGGACTGGCCGATCTTTGTCAGTTCTTTCGTGAACACAACCGCCGCGTGTGGATATTCGAATGTGGAAAACCTTGCCAGATTGCAACGGTGTTTGAAAGGTGCCGCGTATGAAGCCGTGCGAAGCCGTCTTTTACTACCAGAATCAGTGCCACAAGTTATTAACACTCTCCAGCTGCTTTACGGACGTCCGGAGCTGTTAATCAACGTGCTGTTGGAAAAGGTGCGGTCAACTCCAGCGCCCAAGGCGGAACGTCTCGAAACCCTCATCGAGTTTGGGATGGCGGTGCAAAGCTTGTGTGACCACCTGGAGGCAGCGGGTCAACATGCACACCTTACGAACCCGTGTCTGCTGATGGAGTTGGTGGAAAAGTTGCCCGCCCACGTCAAGATGGAGTGGGCGAATTTCATGCAGCGGTACCCGGCGGTGAACCTTAAGACCTTCGGGGACTTCATGAATGGCGTGGTGGTGTCGGCCAGCAAGGTGACGCAGTTCACAGGAGGATTCGGGAAAGGTGCCAACGTGGAGAAGTCAAGGATGAAGCATAAGGGAACAATCAACACACATGTAAGCCAGCCGGAGCAGCCGAAGAACGAGGAGAAGCAGTGTTGCGTTTGTAAACGACGTGGACATCGTGTTCGGGATTGTGACAGTTTCAAAGCGCTCTCCATCGACAATCGTTGGAAGGAAGTGCAACACAACGAACTCTGCCGCAGCTGCTTAAATGCGCACGGGAGACGAAGTTGCCGGAATGCCAGTCAATGCGGAATCAACGGATGTACCTTTCGGCATCACCCTCTGCTTCATTCCAACCGTAGTAATCAACCATCCGGAAGAGCGACAACGCTGAGGCCAGCTTCAAATATCGAATCCGCTGGCAACCATGCGCATCGTATGTCGAATCAATCGTTACTTTTTCGCATTATTCCCGTAACACTTTACGGACCAAAGAAAACGGTGAAGACCTTCGCCTTTCTGGACGATGGGTCGTCCCTCACACTCGTTGAAGAGGAGCTCGCAAACGACATCGGCGCCAGCGGAAAAGCGGCACCACTGTGCCTAACCTGGACGGGTGATGTGTCTAGAATCGAAGCAGACTCGAAGCAGTTACAGCTGAAGGTATCAAGCGCTAACGATGGAAAGCACTACAAACTGGAGGATGTTCGTACCGTAAAGAAGCTGGCTCTGCCGGGTCAGACGCTACACATCAACGATTTCGTGGACAAGTTCAGGCATCTCAAAGGTCTTCCGCTTGCTGGATATGAGAACGCGGTCCCTCAGTTGCTGATTGGGGTCAATAACTTGCGACTTACCATTCCGTTTAAGGTGAAAGAGGGTGAAATCAACGAACCGGTCGCCGTGAAAACTCGTCTCGGCTGGTGCATATACGGAGGAGGTGGTGTTCCCTTGTCAAATACACTCAACTTCCATGCTTGTGACTGTGACCGTGAACTGCACGAAATGATGAAGGACTATTTCGCCCTCGAGGACGTCGGTGCCAAACCAGTGACAGAATTGGTTTCGGCCGAAGACAGAAGAGCTCAAGAAATTTTGGAAAAAACCACTGTACGCGTAGGCGATCGATTCGAGACCGGCTTGCTGTGGAGGTATGATGAAATTGAGTTTCCGGAGAGCTACGGAATGGCTTTGCGAAGACTCGAGTGCCTAGAACGTCGGATGGCTAGGAATCCATTGTTGAAGGAGAACATTCACCGTCAGATAGAAGAATATCAGCTGAAAGGCTACGCGCATCGAGCCAGTGAGGAAGAGTTGAAGACAACCGATCTTAAACGGGTCTGGTACCTACCACTGGGAGCGGTGGTGAATCCAAAGAAACCGGAGAAGGTGCGTCTCATCTGGGATGCCGCAGCTGTAGTTAACGGAATATCTCTCAACACACTGCTTCTCAAAGGCCCGGATCAACTTACGTCGTTGCCCGCAGTTTTGTCAAGGTTCCGACAGTATGCGGTGGCGGTCTCCGCCGATATTAAAGAGATGTTCCATCAAATGTGGATGCGTAGGATGGACCGACAATCGCTGCGTTTCCTATTTCGCAAGGATCCGACCGTTTTACCGGACATCTACGTCATGGACGTTGCGACATTCGGGGCAACCTGCTCCCCAGCGTCTGCACAATATGTCAAAAACAGAAATGCGGCAGAATTTGCCGGAGAGTATCCAAGAGCCGTTGAAGGAATCATATCCAATCACTACGTCGATGATTACCTAGACAGCTTTGGTACCGAAGCGGAAGCAGCAGATATAGCGGAGCAAGTGAAGGCAATCCATAGTAAAGGAGGTTTCCTGCTGCGGAACTGGCAAACGAATAGTATCCATGTAAAGCAACGATTGGGAGAGGCTGCGGACCCTAGCTACAGGCATATGTTTATGGATAAAACCATGGAATACGGCAGGGTGCTTGGTATGCTGTGGTTGACAGAGGAAGACGCCCTGAGCTTCTGCGCACAGATGAAGGACGACATACAGCAAATCGTGGACAGCGACTCCCGTCCCACAAAGAGGCAAGTCCTGCGGTGTCTAATGAGCTTTTTCGATCCGCTGGGATTGTTAAGCTTCATCATGGTTCAGGGCAAGATTCTGCTGCAAGATGTTTGGCGTGCTGGAACACAGTGGGATCAGGAGATAAGCGAGGAACATTGGGAACGTTGGCGGAGCTGGACTGTTCTGCTACAGCGGATATCGACCATACAAATTTCCCGATGCTATTTCCCGAACGCCACCGAGCAGAGCTACCGTCAGCTGCAATTACACGTGTTCGTCGACGCAAGCGAAGCGGCGTATGCAGCAGTGGCGTATTTTCGAATAGTCGATGCAGACGGGACACCAAGATGTGCTTTGGTGATGGCGAAAACAAAGGTGGCGCCGTTGAAACCGTTATCGATACCGCGAATGGAGTTGCAGGCCGCTACGCTTGGGACCCGATTATTGAGGTCCATTCATGAATCCCATACTGTGAAAGTTACGGAGCGATATTTGTGGTCAGACTCATCGACGGTGCTAGCCTGGTTGAGAGGGGATCCCCGCAAGTACAAACAGTACGTGGCCTGTAGGATTGGTGAAATACTGGAGCAGACGGATGTGATCGAGTGGCGGTGGGTACCGTCGAAGCAGAATCCAGCGGATTACGCAACCAAATGGGGAAGCGGGCCATCCATGGACGTCGGAGGAGTCTGGTTCCAAGGACCACCGTTTCTGCAACGGCCTGAGAAAGAATGGCCGAAACAGAAGATGTCACAAGGGGTCGTCGAGGAAGAATTACGTGGCTGTAACGTTCACGTCGAAACTGTCGTGCTCCCAGTAGTAATAGATTGTGATCGCTTCTCCAAATGGGAGCGCATGCATCGAGCAATGGCCTACGTGCACCGATACGTGGGAAATGTGAAACGGATGATCTACGGTGAAGCGAAGCATACAGGCTACCTCACTCAAGAGGAACTACGACAGGCAGAAGCGACCTTGATTCGGATGGTACAAGGGCAGACTTACCGCGAAGAACTGACAATCCTCTCAAACAACCAGAATCATCCGAGACCACACCCAGAAGGGTTGAGCAAGCACAGTGTGCTGTATCAGTTGACGCCGTTCATCGACGACACCGGGATTCTACGGGTGGATGGGCGAATCGGAGCAGCAGAAAATGTAAGCAACGAAGTGAAATTTCCAGCGATCCTGCCCAACAATCACCGGGTGACGGATCTGATCGTAGACGCTTATCATAGGAAGTATCGACACGCCAATTCGGAGACCGTAGTGAATGAGATACGGCAGCGGTATCATGTGTCCCGCCTTCGAACAGTTGTCCGGAGAATCGTCAACGTGTGCACAATGTGCAAAATTCGTAAAGCAGTACCTCACATTCCACGAATGGCCTCACTTCCTCCGGCCCGCTTAGCTTCATACGCAAGACCATTCACCTACGTTGGCCTGGACTTGTTTGGACCATTGTTAGTGAAGGTCGGTCGCAGCAACGCAAAAAGGTGGATAGCGCTCTTCACCTGCCTCACTGTTCGAGCAGTGCACTGCGAAGTAGTGTACAGTCTGTCAACTGATGCTTGCCTCAAGAGCATCCGTCGCTTCGTGGGTCGTCGTGGTGCTCCAGCCGAAATCTACACAGACAACGGAACAAACTTCCACGGCGCTGAGCGGGTGCTGATGAGACAGCTTCAACAAGGTCTTGCCGCGACCGTGACTAATACGACAACTAAATGGTACTTCATTCCTCCATCTTCACCCCACATGGGCGGAGCGTGGGAACGCATGGTGCGTTCGATCAAGCAAGCGATGATGGGCGCAAACAGTAGTGACCGGAAGCTCGACGACGAATCGCTGAATACGTTTGTTATCGAAGCGGAGTCGATCGTCAACAGCCGTCCACTCACTTACCTGCCCTTGGACGCGGAAGAAAGTGAAGCACTGACTCCGAACCATTTCCTGCTAGGAAACTCAACCGGGGTGCGACAACCAGTAGCGGAGCCGACCGATAGCTCGGTAGCAGTGAAGAATTCCTGGAACCTGATCAACCATCAACTCGACTGTTTTTGGAGGCGCTGGACTCGAGAGATGCTGCCGACCCTGACCAGGAGAACAAAGTGGTTCGGCGATGAGAGGGCTGTCGCTACCGGCGACCTAGTGCTGATCGTGGAGGACAGCAAGAGGAACAGCTGGATCAGGGGACGAGTGATGGAGGTTGTGCCTGGGGGTGACGGAAGGATCCGTCAGGCTATCATAAGAACTGCGAAGGGGCTGCTGCGTAGGCCTGTCGCAAAGCTAGCTATTCTGGACATAGTAGATAGTGGTAAAACTGGAACTGGTGGCCAGTGTTACGGGGGGGAGGATGTTGGCGCTGGGATCACTGCCTCAAGTCGCGATACGTAGTGTAACCCGAACCGAACCGCGGAGTTCAACTGTCTGTTGTCATCGAATGACAGGAGCGAACGAAGAGAGAGAAGGAACATCATAAATGAAAGGAAGAAGTGGATAGTCGGTCAGCAAAACAATCTTGAGTTAATACTTAGTCATTCTAGTGAAAAGTGTGAATCCTAAATTCTTAATCTATTTGAATTAGCCTAGCCTATGAATTAGTAAATCTAAATTGAAAATCTACACAAAATTGTGAGTAAATTGTAAAATAACTAACTAAGAATAGAAAATTAAAATAGCCAAACTTACAGTTCTCATAGCGTGGAAAAACATAACCCAGCGAACAGAAACTTTCATCTGGTGAAAGCACCGAAAGTGTAAGTAACACAATGTGTAAATTGAAATTGTACTAATTAAATATACTACTTGCAGTTTAAAGCTGCACCTATCCAAAATTTGTGCTGCTCACAACCCGGTGTTCATTTCTGTTCGCCACTGTAACAATCCCCATCGGATGTTTTTTTAAAGATATTTTTTAGAACTTCCTTCAAACTTTCTCAACAAGATCTTCTTTATTCTTCCGCTGGAAATTTTGTCGGTACCATTAAGAGACTAATTCAAATATTTTCCAGAAGTTTCTTCCGACTTACATGGAAAGTACATCTTTCGATTTTAGTCCAAAATTGAAAAAAAAAAAATACAATCAATGAAAATAGTTATTACCGATAAATACCGATTTTTTAATCATTTGATACCGATAATCATGAAAACAATCTGGCAACGCTGATTCGGTCAGCAATTTGAACCTCCATGAAGAATAATTGAAGCTTTGCGCTCCACGATGAGCAGTTGGCAAAAACAAAATAAGAAGTGTTATGCAGTGTTGTTAGTTTTTTCACGCAGTGCAATCCGTAGATTGGAGAATTTGTTTTTACTGTAGTTATAATTGCCACATCTGCCGAAAATGTGTATTTCCCAAGCGTTGACAGACGACAGTATTTTGCAGTCCAGTGCGCAAAACAGTCAGGTTCAATGAGTAATTTTCTTATGAATACGAACTGCCATCTGCCTCGTGAGAGTCTGAATGATTGAGAGGTAAACGAGTCACTGATAACCGAGCACTCAGTCAGCACGTTGAATTTTCCGTGATGGTACCCAATTCTAGTTTTGAATGACTGAGTGTACAATTTCTATGGCAAAATGCCTTAATTACATGCTGTGTGAGCAAAAAGGCAAGTGGTGCGAGTCGGCTGTTCGTGCGTGACTGAATGTTTTGCTGGCTCTTTCATTGCCTCGTCCTTTACCGTTTGGCACAAACGGTCTGGACAGAGCAATTGATTGAATAGTGCAGTGCTTTCACACTCAGCCTGAGCAGTCAATAATTTTACGCTCTGATCCAGTCAGTAATTTTACCGAGTTTTTGAATTGCGGAACTGTTCGGTAAAATTTTTAAAATCTGTTAAAAATGCCAAGTTGGGAAAATGTGTTACGAAAATTTACAGACTCACTTCTGTGAACCCCGTTTAATGATGAAAAATAAAATTTGTCGATTTTATCGAATCTTTACGAACCACGGTTATTTGAATTTAAACCGAGTTTTTCAGTAATTCAAAAACCCAGTAAAAATACTGACTTCTGTAAAAAAATCTAAGTGTATATGGATCATAGATTCGATTCAACATTGCGTCTAATGTTTTTGTTTTGAGTATTTTAGCCACCGTAAATTTTTTATAAGGCATAGGGCAAACTTATGAATATTGATAGTTTAATCCGCTGAGTATAGAGTTTGTTCTGCGCGTTTAAAAAAAACCTAATAGTTTATCAAAATTCATAAACCTGACCACACTGGTTATGTTTGGTTTGCATCTAAGAGGAAGAAGATACAACTGGCTTCTTTTTGTCTGTGACGTGTTCTTCTTCTCTCGCGGAAATGACCGTGCAAAAACGATTACATTATGGGCGACGCAGTCGACTGTCAAAATAGATTCCCTGTTGTAAAAATTCTCGCGTTTCTATACGTTCGCGCTGGTTCGCGTTTGACAGAACATTGGTTCATAAAAGTCCCCCTATTGTCTGCTCTTCCTCTTAGGTTTGCATCATGACACCGTTTTTCTCTCGATCACCGAGTCACGACGACGCGCAATAGTTGCTCAGTAGGTTGCCCGCCATGCTTAGTGATTCAGTGACGTCAATGCGGCGGCTCTTTCCAAAAGGCTAATGATCGAGAAGGTTAAACCAAACGGAATTTTTTTTCTGGTCGATATTGTGGTTGGGTGGAATTTTTTTTTCTATAAATACTTTAAGCGGTAACATGGTTCCAAAGTTCCAGGATGTTATGGTGAGTGAAATAAGCGGATGCTGTTAGAATGTTGCTAATCTCGATTATCACCTTCATTTGATTCTCCGTTCTTCATAAGAGTAAATAAGATAGCAACCAATGGGAGCCAAAACAAGCCCGCAGAACTGTCAAAATACGTGGGTGAGCAAAGGGGACGGGGACATTTAGCCATTTAGGTTAGTTTCCGTGCGCAGAATCTATTCATGAAGAGAAATAGGAGCGTTTATTCCTCTTTGAAAACTCCATTGCAACTGATGTGATTTACGTTGAGTCTGTAATTGTGACCAATAAATGAGGTACAAATTGTTTAACAATTAGAAATCGGCCTGAAATTTCTACACTGCAAATACAATTCATGTAATATTTTATGTTTGTATGTATGTATGTATGTATGTATGTATGTAAGTAGCCACCATCCTAGCTTGGATCTTGCCCTGCATGCGGCTCCACTCAACAGCAACTCATCATTCTGAATTCAACATACTGCTGTATGAAGGGCCAAAAAGAGTTGGACGGACCCGTAAGCAGAGACACTTACGCGAAACCCGCGGGAATAAGAGAATCTCCTTCCAACAATATGATCCAACAAAACGAATAACAAAATTCGCAATACATGTTAAGCTTTCCACGGGATGTTTTGTTCAAGAAGAGCGCGTCAAATTTATTGCAACTGTTGGAGTGAAATGTAACTATCTAAAATGACATTACACATTCCCTCCTAGACTCCGGTTGGAACTCCACTCCAATATCCAGTTACAACTTCAATGATGCCCTGATGCTCCCTCCCGTCCCAGTATTTTTTGTAATATACAGTATAATTTAAATATATAGCAATGGCATCATTTTGCATCTTCATATCGCCATTTTGAATCCAGCCTTATTTTTGAAAAGGGCAATCGTTTTTTGAGAAAATTTGTTTTTTTAAGATTTTATTTGAAAAAAAAGTTGAGTACTTTTTCAGAGTGCATACATTTTGAAATAGTCTCATCTATTATCTGCAATATTGCCGAAGACACCAAACAGATCGTACAAACATTTTTCGAGTAAAAATTTTCTGAAGATTAGCTTGATATTTTTTCTATAGGCCCTTTTCAAAAATAAGACTGGAATCAAATTGGCGCTATGAAAATGCAAAATGGCATAGTCGGTGATAAGAAACGTTTCTCCAAATTTTCAAATTTTCAACCAAACCAAAAAATACAAAATAAACCGATTTGCGAATTCGTAGGGAATCGCTCAAATGCAAATTCAATTCACGTAATATTCACCTGAAAAAGTACGTAGATATTTTCCATAGTTCTCCTGAAAAGGTGAATATGACGTGTTAATTGACGTTCCGATAATCGTCAAATCGGCTTCACTTAAAAGTTACGTGAATTTCTTTTTTTTTTATAATTCTTTTATTTGTACAGGCTCAATCGAATAAACTTTACAGAGCCGAGTTATCCTTTGCGTTATACATTATTACTGTCTTAAATTTAAAGTTAAATGAACTGGACCGAGTACTCGCGGTTGTCTCGAGGTTAGTGGAGATTTACAATTTATTTGATGGGAAAAGGGAAGAAGGAGGTTTGAAATGTGGTTTACGATACAATTATTTAATTAATCCTAAAGCATGAAATTATTTCTATTCATCTTGAAAACAAACATTGAAAAAAAAAACCCACACGTACAAAATACAAACTAAACACAAGGTTAATCAAACTTACAATCTAAGGTTAATATCCTTAAAGTAAACATATATGAGTTTCATAAACTCCAGATCGCGTCTAGCCAAAATATCCCGAACTGGAACATTAGGTTGTCTACCTCGAGCCCGAAGGGAATCATAAAAATGAGATCTGACTCCACGATACTCCGCACAAGACCAAAGGATGTGATCAGCGTCCTGGTAACCTTGTCCACATTCACAGAGATTGCTGTCTCCCAACCCCACACGGAACAAGTGAGCGTTTAGACAATAGTGATTGGACATGAGACGAGACATCACGCGTATGAAGTCTCGACTCAAGTCCAACCCTTTGAACCATGCAAACTTCGACACCTTAGGGATAATTGAATGTAGCCATCGTCCCAAGCTCCCTTCACTCCATTGATGTTGCCAGCTAACGAGTGACTGCTGACGATAAATAGAAAAAAAAAATTCACTATAATTTCACAGGCGATTTGTCGATCATATATGTCGCCTTCCATAGCGCCCACCTTCGCAAGTGAATCCGCCTTCTCATTGCCCAAAATTGAGCAATGCGAAGGGACCCACGCGAAGGTGATGATGAAAGAGCGCACGGATAAAGCACTAAGCAGTTCTCGTATTTTCAAGAGAAAATACGAGAAGTGCTTTACCGGCCTAATGGAACGGATAGCCTCGACAGAACTGAGACTATCCGTAAAAATAAAGTAGTGGTGTGGAAGAAGTGAAGCAATAGTTTCCAAAGTGTAGTGAATTGCTGCCAGTTCAGCCACATACACAGAACAAGGAGCTTCAAGTTTTCGAGAGGCGCTATGAAATTCATTAAATACACCAAAACCAGCGGACTCCTCTATTAGAGATCCATCTGTGAAAAACGTTCTTGCAGAATCAACATGGCCAAACTTTGCAGCGTATAATGACGGAGCAATCATAGGACGATGATGCTCTGGAATTCCGCGGATTTCCTGCGTCATAGATAAATCAAAA